AAACATGAAGAGAAAAGGTAGGGGAGGGAAGACAAAAGGTGCTAAGAAATTGGGAGGTTAGCCCAAATGGGTGCTAAGAGAAATCTGTTGGCCCAAAATTTTGTAATAAGAGCTTATAGAAAATGGACATCCACCTTTAATGGCATCAAAAGGTGCACAAATGATGTTGGGTTTTGATCCTTGAAAAATCCTTTCTTTTAGAGCTTGCAGGTCAATGTAGGCAAATTTTAGAAGACATGCATGTCCTCAAATATTTTTGAAGCTTGTACACTAATACCTAATAATTAGGTGTCATGAAGAAATTATAAGGAGAGTTAAGTAATGCCATAAAATCTACAGTAGGTCACGAGATAAGAAGTTGAGCTTGCATGTCAACCAGGCGGGGTGATATGTCATTGAGAGGAAATTGCTAGGATGACAAGTCAATGAGCTGAGAGCAATGGGACAAAACCAACTGGAGAAAGCAGTTGAGAATGAAATGCTAAGTGAAAGATGGTTCCAAGGAGATTGATCTATAAAAGGGATGTTGTTAGGAGTACAGACATCAACCACAAGCTAACTACAAAGGTGCCAATGAGAGACTTTTGGGCATAGACTTTGATGGGACAATATCAATCGACATGAAATAAGATTGAAACCCTCGAGAAAAAAGTCTTTACTTAACGTACACTAAGATGGGGTGTCGTAAAGATGGCATAAAATTTTAAAAGGGGCACCGATGAGAAGGGACTAAGAGGGATACAATGATTCTTGACCTAGCGTGTCAACGCAACAACAATGTTGGAACAAATATGCTTTTATAGTGTTGAGAATTAGTTAGCATAAGGGGAACATAGACTAGCTACACTTGGCTAATCTCGGATGAGTCCACTAGGTTCATGATAGTCTTAATAAAGGTTAGGATGGTTTGAATAAGGGATCAATCATTAAGGAGGCTAAACTAGGCTTTTGTCCCATTAAGCTAAAGCTCAATTTTAGGCCAGGCTAAAAATTGCCTTCTAGTCTATTATGAGCTAGATCCACCTACGAAGCTGGAGTAAGAGAAATGTTCCTTAGATATTAAAGATTATATCTATGGAAATCCTTAACCTTGGGTTATCACATTATTGACACACTATGACCTAATGCATAGAAGCAAGATTTGAACAAAATAACTTGATCAAATAACAAGACAATAAGACAATGACATAATATTTTCATTCTTAACTTGTCTATGTGAGATGAACATTTATCAACGAATTTATTCAACAAATTAGGATAAGCAAAATTTTATGTATCTCATGTTAAAAATAAATGGAGATGAAAAATAATTTCATTATCCCGAATTTCATGAAAAATCATCAAGAAGAATTATCATAGCGTACCTAAATCCATTGAAATACAAAAATCGAGGTTTTGAATCCCCCCCACATTTGAAGCAGCGTTCTTAAGAAAGATCGACTGACACTTTTTTTTTTTTTTTTAAGATGGGCAATAAGGAAAATGAGAACCAACTCCTTAAACTAGGGATCACAATCCTATTTGTACTTAATTGATTTATCTTATTTTAACTCATCATTAAAATAAATATAATACATGATCTCTACATAATATTTTATAAAACTAAATGAGAAGTCACATGAATCAAATAATAATTTAATTCTTAAGTAGATTATGAATTTAATTGGCTTAATTTTAGATAAAAATAATGTTATATATATTATTTATTTATTTATTTATTTACACTGATAATTATACACTATTAAGTAACCGTAAGAGCTCATTTTTTATACTTTATGGAATGATATATCTGCATAATCTGATTCATAAATCATATTAATATAGAATCAAAGTGACATTTGTTATAATTTTTCATAACAAAATTCATCAATGATCACTATATTAATATTATTAATGACATACATGTGTAACAAGAAATTTTTATGTAATGTGATCTTATAGTAAGTCTATTTTCAAATGATCTAGTATTATAAGTCAAAAGAGTTATTATCACAGTTTCAATACTTTATATTAAACTGTGATTGAAACTAAATAACTTTGCTTTAGAGTTTTCAATAATTAAGATAATAATAATATTTTAATCTGATTAAAAAGTATGTTTATAATAATTAAATAATACAAATAAGCTCCCACTATGCAAGCACATTATCAAAATAAATTACACTCATAGGAGCCATATGTTCATAAAATATCTTAAGTGGCAATCCTTTTATAAGTGGGTCAACAATCATAAAATTTATACTAATATGTTCAATATAAATTTAAGAATCTCTAAATCATTTCTTTCACAACAAGAAACTTTATGTCAATGTGTTTTAATTTTGACAAGCTTTTGTTGTTCTTAGAATATAACTCAACTGTGTTATTATCATATTTTATCTTTAATGGTTTCTTAATGTCATCAATAAAATGCATCAATAATATGCAGCCATGTTATAAAATTTTGCATCCAAATTTCTTAATTTGATGTCTCACAACATATTATAAACACTATTTCAATTGTAGAAGAAGCTACAAGTGATTATTTGACACTTTTCCATAATCAAGCTCCTCTAGATAATATGAAAAAATGGCCTGAAGTGAATCTCCCACTTCTGAGGCAACCAACAAAATTAGAGTATGAATATCCCACGATCTCTAAATGATCAGATCTCTAATATTGGAGCATAAAATTTTTTATTCTTTTTAAATACCTCATAACTTGTTTTACTGCTTCCAATGATCCATTCCAGAGTTACATAAATACATGTTAAGCATTACAACAATATACACATTATCTAAATACATACAAACTTAAGCATACATATAACTCCCTACTATCAACGTAAAAAGGATTTTATCAATCTCTTTCTTTTCAATTTCATTTCTTGGATATTGAAGCATACTAAATTTATCCTTTTTAGCAATGAGTGTATCTTCAAATGCACAATCTTTCATGCTAAATTTGTTAAGCACTTTATCGATATATGTCGTCTGTGATAAACCAAATATACAATGGGAGTGATCCCGATAAACTTGTATGTCCAACACAAATGATGCATTTCTAAAATCTTTCAAATCAAATTTATTTGAAAAAAAAAAATTCTTAGTTTCATGCAATAAGTCAACATCGTCACTTGCTAGTAGAATATCATTAGCAAATAACACTAAGAGAATAAACTTACTCCCACTAGTCTTATGATAAATGAATTGCTCAATTCTTTTTTTTAATCAAACGAAGTAATCACTTGATAAACTTTTTATACAATTGATGGGATGTTTACTTTAAATCATAGATAAATTTGTTTAATTTGCATACCAGATGCATTGAATAAGAATATTTATTTTTTTGTTGTTGCATTATATATATTATTTATTCAATTTTATCATTGATAAGGACAATCTTTACATCAATTTGATGTAGTTTCAAATCATAATGAGCTAAAAGTGTCATCATGATTTTAAAAGATTCTTTTGATGAAGCTCGACATAAAGTTTATTTATAATCAATGTTTTCCTTATGAGTAGAATCTTTAGCGACTAAACATGTCCTATAACGTTCAATATTGACTTTTGAATCCCATTTGGTCTTAAACAATCGACTTTTCTTCTTTAGGAAATTCAGTAAGATTTCAAATATCATTGTCTTTCATTGATTCCATCTCATATTCCATGACCTTTATCCAATTTTGAGAATTAGCACATTGTTTGACTCGACTAAAAAAGATTGGTTCATCTGTAATAATCTAAAAATGAAAAGTATTTTAAAATATGAATTTTAAATTTCTATTTAAATTTCGACGTTGGTCTTGTGAGCACTGTAGCATTAGGTTTAACAGCACAATGGTGCCAAAAACTACCGATGTAACTTTTAAGTCTTTGTTTGTACAATAATTATGAATTATGCATGAAATATTAGGCCACTAAAAGTATTTATATATATAATGTTCTAAGCGTTTTCATATGTTTTTTTTTTAATTGTTCTAAACATTATAAGTAAGTATTCTCTATATTTTATTATTTTAATTTTTACAAGGATTTTATCTCTTCTAAATCTGTCAAAAATGCATTATCTCCTAAGTTTTATAAGCTTACATCACATAACTTTTGATATGTTATAGATTTAATCATTTTGAACAATAAGATATGATTTTATTGCATTTTTACCGGTTAGAAACGTGTATATGAATATTTCGGTGAAATGAGTAGGAAAAATGCATAGTGAAAATGAGTTGAAAGTAATGTACTATAATTTGACATAATAATACTGAAATGTAATATGTGCTAGAATGATTGATATGAATGATGTGTATTGGAATGTGATATCAATCTGACTGCAAGGATATTCTATTGATATCAAATATATGATAATCTCACGTGATAACATCAAGCTTCACTGATATGAGTCATAAGAAGTTGGAGATTGATTTGGAATTATAAAGAATCATGGGGCTGATCCACGTGACTTACGGGGAGTCATAAGAAAAACACGAATGGGGAGTCATAAGTATAAGAGCAAGATACCCTCAAGATACTCACTCTTACATGAATATCCGACTAATTATTGATTGCGAATATTAATTACTTATTACTAATATTGATTAATGATACTGATTACTAATACGAATACGGATTATTATTACTAATATTATACAGACATTAACCTTACGGACACTGATTTCTATTACTTCTTACTGTTACTAAAATTTCCCAACAATATAGAAATTTTCCTACATCCCATCCATCCCCCCTCGTATTAATAAGATTGAAGTTATTAAATTCCATTCTGTGAATACAGAGAATAAACAAAACTGCTTCTAAGAATATCACTATAAGAACTCGTTTGATGAGGCCAACTCAGCTGCCAATTTCTCTCTCTTTTTTTTTTTCTTTTTCTTTTTTTTTGAAAATATAACTATTATATAATCAGAGTGCCTTCTTCTTCTCTAAACTTGTAGCATGATTATCACAAAAATTTAGCTCTGCTGGAGTAACAGAATTCACATTAAGAAACAAATTTGGCCAGAAACAACTCTCTTATAGAAAAACTGATACATTCTGAAACAGAAGACAGAATAACAGAAAATAACAAGCTAAAACAAAAACAAAAGAAAAATACCTCAAAACGAGATTCATATCTATCAATATAGATATGAGAAATGGCAGAGTGGCTTTGCTACACACAAAGTTAACTAACTCATGCAACCAACATCACTGTAGCATCATCATCAGATCTCTCTCTCCTTCAGAAGAGACATCTTCATGTTCCTGTCATTCTCGACCCTTCAACTTCAATCCTGAAAGGTAATCAGCAGCAATCCATGCAAAGCTTAGGCGGGGCGGCACTTCGCCGCCATCAGGTCCCCTCCTCGCCGCAGATTTCTGAACCCAATCTGGGTGATAGGTGACTTGATACCATGCCGATGCCTTTCGCTCGAACAACAAGTCCTTCTCCACTCCAGAAAGCTGTAAATCATTCGTCTCCAATGTCTCGAAGACTTTGCGGAATTCTCTATGAAGAGCTTCGTAGGAATTCTTGATTTTTTCCTTTATATCCCCTTGCTTCCTGCTGTTGAATTTAGGCAATGATGATATTTGTCCTATGACAATCTCTGCCTCAGCTGTAATTCTGTATTGCTCAAGCAATGCATTAATATGTGTATCATAGAGGCATTTGCTGTCCCAGGCAGCTGGAAGATACTCCGAAGCACCTGGGACCTCAAGATCTTTGTCATAGGGAATGTTTTCATAGCTGAATGTGAACTCTGGATGCATCAAGCTCTCATTTGAAGCATTTTTTATGGCACGATAGAGCCTCCCAAGGATCTTTTCAGACTTGTAGGATTGGTGTTCATGCTTCTCCATGAAGTCAGGGTATAGCTTGGGCTTGAGGGAGGAGGGCATGTTGACCATTTGGCCGGTTTTAGGGAAGTCTACGGCCAAGGCGGCCAACTCGGCTAACTCGATACATTTCTCGTCCATGGCTCCATGCTCACTTAGATCAGCATGGACCACATGAGCATTGCAAATGACTCCAAGGTTCTCACTTACCATGTTCTTCACAAAGAATTCAATGATGTCCTGCAGAAGAGAAGTTACAAACACAACTTCAAAAGGAAATTTTATTGATTAAAGAACTACAAAGGGAAGCTTTGATTATCAGAAGTTCTATTTTCCCTTGATTCAATTGAGGTTAAACATATTGAACATATAAAGCATATACAGTACAGAGTTTAGCAACAGAAACTCATTAGCTAAATGAAATATGATGAAAATTATAAGAGTGACATTTAAAAGAAACTACTTGCACAAGCATATCAGATACCAAAATGAAATATGATGAACATTAATAAAATATAACTATCAACATGTCACAGGACTTCTAAATCAAATATGAAAAGTTCATTATTTTTGTAATTAGAGAGGTACAAGAAAATGCAAAGATCTATCTATCCATCTACCTATAAATATAAATGTCGCCTGTATTTCAGTGCTGAATCAATTTTCATGACATGCTTCCATAACAATACGTTCTTAAGCAGAAACAGTAGCAAGAATCTAAAGATGAGCTGAATTAATATGTGAAGTTGCCAAAACAAATGATAAACTCACGCAAATAATAAATGACAAATAAACTAAGCAATCAAAGAGACAACCTGAAAAGTTCCAAGATGAACTACACGTAGAGGTACAAATCAATGCAATGTAACACTGAAGTATCGGAGAGCTCTAAGTAGGGGTGGAGCCATGAAGACCTCAGGGTGGGTAATTGTCCAAGAATTTTTTTTTTCTATAAGAATAAGCATTTTAATTATTTTTCTCACCTTCAAAAAATACAGTTGCCGAAGTTTTAACAAAGAAATTTCTTTTTCTATTTCATAAATAAAATTATGTATTTCACAATCTTATTTTGTCCACCCTTAAAAGAGAGGCTAGTTCTGCCCCTGAACCTCTAAGGACATGTATTTTAAAAGTCATTCAAAAAAGTGGAGCTTTGGTGATAGAGCATAGCAAATTACAAGAAGCTAACAATATAGCGCCTATAAAAAATAAATAAATATTCAAAAACAATTCAAATCGGACAATGTTCACTTGGAAGTAGTGGCAAATAAAACAAATGATCCACATAGGATCCTTTCCAACGGTCAATATCTCAAATGAAACAAGTTAAACAAGTTCATTATCATGAATATATCAATTCATTTCAAAAAGAAAAAGAAAAAATCAATTCCTAATTTCATGTTATGAGATGATTCAAGTCAAGGATCAAGGAATTTTTTAAAGTTCTAGCAATGGTCCAATGGTGCAGATTAGAAGCTGATGAAGAATGGAACAATGCAGCAAAATGAGAGTAGGAAGTCTAGCTTTCTAAAGAGTCAGACTGGCTAAAAAGCATGACTAACAATGACCCTTACCATGGAAATTATTCACATGCACAACAAATGACATACTGCTAGGCATTTAAATGAAGCATCAACAGATTAAATTAATGAATTTGTCCCGAAAAAAGTATAGAGAACAAACCCAATGGGTGACACGGCGCGGTTGCAACTTTTCTTGTGCTGGTGTATAATCCATTGGAGCCCAACTCTTTTTGCTTGGAGGTATTAAATTAGGTTCCCAAGTAACAAAATAAAGATCACCATCAAGGTCACTACCAGATGCTTCATTTGAGTGAGGTCTCTCTCCCTTCTGTGGAAACACTAAGCAATCAACAAGGTGATGCAGTTCAGGTATGTCAACTGCTTCAAGAATCCGAACGTCCCCGGGGTGAAGACATGGGTTCTTAGCAACTGCAACAGTACCCACAACAATTTTCTTCTCTTTCTTTGTTGCCAAAAATCTAGAACCATGCTTTGAGAAACAATTTTCCAGCGATGGAGTCGATGCCTGAATGAAGCACTGGCCGTGTTCCAGTATCCCCAGTTCATCCAAGCAGCCCATCAACCACCTTCCATTTCGAACAAATATCCTTGCCTTCAATAAAAGATCCCGTAGCTGCGCGGCTCTGACACACAACAACATATCTTTCAGATGGGGCTCTGATTGAGGTTTAAAACCTGCAGCCAGCATCATTGCAGCAGTGTTTCCTTGCTCAAGGCAGGAAGTGGTAAGAACTTCAAGTGCAACATTAGTGTCTACAAGTATATCTTCCAACTTAGAAATCATTTCCTCCTGCATTCTTGAAAAAACAGTATCAGGAACATCCAAGGATGAAAGTAGTGTCACAATTTGTCTGTTCAGAAAGCCTGGCTGGAAACGAGTCCATGAAACAATCTCCAAAACATTGTGGCCGGAGTCAAATTTATTCATGCTTGGCCTGAGTGACAGACGAATTCCATCATCTTTCCCAGGCCAAACGGCTACCACACCCTTACAGCCGGCATATCGTATTTGATAGGCCGAAGGAGGATTGTCGATCAATGACAGTATTTCAGCAACTTCCATCCCAAGCTCTGGTGTGATCTTCCCAATCCCATCAGAGAAGACAAAGCCATTCCTCTCAATATCCTCAAGATAAGAATCAACTTCATTAGGTAGCACCTTCACAGTTGCATATGTTGAGGAAAAGCACTGTCCCATTCGAGCAGCACACTTTGCCACATTTTTGTTGGAGAATCTACCCATCCATTTCCTGATGGAATCAGAAGTTATATTCTCATCATCAGCAAAGAACCAGGCTGACTGATCCCTTAATTGATTTGATGAGAATGCCAGAAAAGAGTACTTCCTGCCACACAGGTTAAAGCCATCATTCAAAATTGACTTAATCCTCCTAAACACAGTAGTTTTCTGCGGAAATCCATTTGAAGTGATGTCCCGCACAATTGGAGCAACATAATAGTTCAGGACATTGGAATTCAGTCGCTGCATTGCTTCATCTGTAAAACTAACCCTCAAAAATCTATCTTCCACACCCCTGTAATGCCTAAGAACACGATTAGACAACTCCACCTCTGGCGGCAGACAATGCGCTTTCGTTGGAGTAATAATCAGTCTCCTAATCTCCATAGTATCATCAGCAAGCCTTGGTCCCTTCATCATCTTTGGATTCCTCGACAACCAGTCCTGCACAAGTTTTAGCCTTTGGTATGCATTAAAGATGGCGTGCTTGTAAGCCCAAATATGTCTCAAAGCTGCATTATTTAATGAATCACTATTGCTCCTCAGCAAATTGAAAAATTTGTCATTTAGTTGGAACTGGTTGGTGATCCCCTTGTGCAAAACTGCATTAACCATGAACAGTGTGCCAAAACTGATACCTTTCATAGCTTGAATGCACAAAAAGTGATCAGCCATGGGAACTCCAAAGTCTGGCTCCTCACAAACACGAAGAGGTTTCATCGGTCGAGACTGCGGGATTCTGTGATCTCTCAGATAAGCCAGCGCTCTCTCGAGCTTTGGCCCGTATCGAGGAGAAAGCAAAATCCGAAAGACGCTGCATCGGCCGATCGCTCCGCTAGCCGTGAAATCCGTGGTTCGAATCCACGGATCCTCATCATCTAAGAGGCTGAACGGAACTGATTCATAGATATCATCGTCGGCAGTTCGGTAAAACACCAACGGGGCAGAGGAGAAATGTAGGAGAAGCGCAAAGGGTGCCTCGTCCTTCCAAAACTTAACATCATCCAAATCCCTAACCAGAAATTGCACCTTTATATCGCATTTGATCGCCAAGGTCTCATTCGAGTCTTTCCGCGAGAACGTAACTTCTTGCGAGAATATAATCTGACATAAACCGTCGAAGGGATCTACAATGAACTCGCTGGAAGGGCATTTCCAGGCGATCCAAAATTCATCACGGGAAAAAAGCGTTCCAAGCTCGACGCCGACAGAGGAGAACTTGAAGGGATCGATGTTTCGCCGGCGCTGCGCGCGTTGGGCACTCTCTGCGCCGGAGTTGACGCGTAGGACACGTCCATCAAGAATAAGACTTGATCGGCCGGCCGCGGCGATGGCGCGCTTGGCAGCCTTAGCGCTGGCGAAGTGGACAAATGCGTGAGGGGTAATGACCTTGGCAACGGATTCGTCCGCCGACGCCCTTCGGCGAGCGGAGGAGAAGACGGTGAAGTTGGGAAAGAAATCAGGCGGCGACCACGTCTTCTTGACGCGGCATCGCCAGATGACACCAGCGTTGTTTTCGAGGAATTCGGCAAGATTTTTGGCTTCAACGGAATCATCGAAGCCACCGAAGCTTACTTGGGTGACGACAAGCTCGTCTCTAGGGTCTCTTACGAGGTCGGCATGGCGCAGGGAACCCATGGCTATGGTGAAGATAAGCGGGTGGAAAAAAATGGAAGAATGGAATTTTCAGACGTTTAGGGAGATTGAGATTGTGGGGATGTTGAGATCGAGAAGAAAGTTGTAATCTTTGGAAGTTTCCCTGCGATCTGGAGAGAATTTATCTTGGAGCGGGGAGCGGGGAGCGGGGAGCGGGAGCGGCAGTGGGGAGTTTGGAGTGGGAGTGAGGATGGCGGATGCTGATGGGCTTTTAAAGGGGCCATAAAGGCAGTAAAATTTTATTTAAATATATAAATAAGAGAAAATAATAATAAAATAAAAATATTTTTAATAATAAAAATATATTATACTAATAATTATTATAATTCCTATAATATATATTAATAAATAAATAATTTGTAAAGTTATTTGGAAAATAAAATTTAACAAATTTATTTAAAATGAACATTTAATAGGTTTGACTATGAATGGGTTCAACCGCTAATCTAGTCACTCAGAATAATTGATTCCAAATCTAACCAGAAAGAATCGATACAAACAATTAATTCAATCGATGAACAAGTGGAATGGCGCTAGTTTTATGGAATTGTCCAATTTAATAGGAGATCGTGTAATCACTATTGATTTTTAATTTAACAACTAAAATTATAAAAATAAATAATATATTAATTTAATTTAGTACCACAAACTCTTCCCATTCAGCAATTTATCTAAATTGAACATTTAATAGGGTTGACTATGAATGGGTCCAAAAGCTAATCTAGTGGGTCAGAATAATAGGCTTCGTATCGAATCAGGAAGAATCGAGGCAAAAAACTGATTCAATAGGTGAACAGGTGAAATGGCGCTAGTTTTATGGAATTGCCCAATTCAATAGGAGATCGTGTAATCACTATTGATTTTTAATCTAACAACTAAAATTATAAAAATAAATAATATATTAATTTAATTTAGTACCACAAAGGCACAAACTCTTTCTCCCATTTGGCAAAACATGTAGGCCTTCTCGCAACACCTGTGCGTACAGCCTTAGTGAGATCAAACCATCAGCCTCTCTCATTCAAAATAGTGCTTCAACAATTGAGAATAAAATTTTCTTTTAGAATGAAATCTTCAGTATCATAACATCCAACATCATCAAATAGCATCTGTGAAAAAAATTGATGAGCCAGGAATCATTTATGTGAATCTAGACTATTAATTGAAAAAAATAGTATGTATTTGAGTTGCGGATTAATATATAAATATGAATGCATTGATAACATCTAGCTGGGGCAAAAAGAGACATTGCTCTATATATGAAAGTGTCATATGATGCTCGTTACTAAATGCTAGAAAATATAAAGGAATATCTCAAAAAAAAAAATCTCATGTAGAAAAAAAAAGTATGCGCTATATATGATGATATTAAGGTTTCGTTTAGGGCAATTTTTTTATTACTTCTTAAAGTAGCTTTTAAATTTTTGTACTAGAAAGCTGCTTTAAGAAATATTAAGAAAGCCGTCTCAAATGAAGCATATTGTAGATGAAAATGGAATAGAGAAAGTTTGAAAATATGGAAAGTTTAATCTTGAAACTAAGGCTTCGTTTAAGACAGTTTTTTTTTT